AGTGAAGGGGAAGGTGTTAAACACAGGGAAAAGCTCAAGAATGAGGCTGTCCTTGACGACAGAAAGGACACACATTGTAAGGATGGGGTGGATGAGCGCATGGAAGACCTAAGTCAAACAGAGCTGCCCAGTAAACCGTAGGCAAAGAGGGAGAAGAGGACAACAAACGAGGGGCTGTGGCAAACTGTTTCGTCGGAGTTTCACCGACTCATCAGGAGGCTGAACCGTCAACAGTCTGCAGAATCCCCTAACTGATTACACTAAGTGATAATCCACCTTAACCCCGGCTGTATATTTTGGTTTTCAATTTTTAACTCCAGTTTGGTTACAAATTTAAGCGTACCTCCCAGGCAAAAGTTGTTTGTATTATTATTTTACATAACACGTATTTTTTTTTTTCCTGAGATTTTTATTTTTTTTATATTTTTATGTTCACGTTCGGAGTGTTTTGGCAGTCGTTCACGTACGGTCGCAAACATTTGGTCACCGAACCCATTTTCTTTTTTTTTCCTGAGATTTTTCTTTTTTTTATATTTTTATATTCGTGTTCGGAGGGTTTTGGCACTCGTTCACGTATGGTCGCGAACATTTGGTCACCGAACCCGAACACGACGCTACACAGGACCGCACTTACCAAAACAAACGGTAAAAATAAAGTCCAAGTGGGCTAGCTCGGTTTGTTGAGCACGTAAGTGGCACTCAGGAGGTAGTGGATTCAATACCCAACGTTGTCCTTCCGATCCCCCGCGGCTTCCTGGCTGGTTGTGGAAGTGATTTAGGCACTTTCCAACCGGCGCCAGGTGTTAGGAGCTCGGTTTCTGCTCCCCGCATAGAGTAGAGGCGGTTCCGCAAAGTACGTAGTGTCTGCTAGACCCTCCTTTGGCCTACTGTATATTAGTTAGTGTGAGGTTAAAAGAGAATGATGAGAGAAGAAAACAGAATAGTAAATGCAGCCATTCTCTAAAGGAGAAGACAGGCTGCATTCAAAACAAAACAAAACAAAAAAAAAAACAGTTAAACCACTAGTACCTGCGAGCCTATTTTCGACAAGTTCTTGCCAGCTCCCGAACTTTCAGGAGGCCGAGCCCGACAACGGCTGCCGTCGATAAATCTGATCGACGGCCGTCGTTTCGTTTCGGCC